ATGCATCGGGTTTGTGTTAATAACAGCCGGTTTCTACTAGCAAGGTGTGTTGGGAGAGCTTTCTGAAGTGGCTCTGGGTGTTGGCAGAGGCTTGTCCCTTGGGTGAGAGTTTCACTTCTCAAATCTGCAAGCTATTTCCTTGGCACTGTGGAGAGGAGGGAAACTGCTGCTCTCCAGAAAGCATGGTAAAGAGCAGAGCTGCCAAGCAGCCTGAGAAGAGGAAAAAGGATTTAGAAACCCCCTCGTCTTGGCTGGAGGAGGGAGTGTCTGACTTCGCTTGCCCAGCAGATTATTTAAAAATGACCCCTGTGAGCCTCAGAGGTGGTACCTGCTCCTCTGCTGCACAGATGCAGCGGGCTGGGAGTGGTAGCAGCGTCGTGCGGGTGTTAGGAATATGTATTTTTTACATAGGCTGTGTTATTTCTGTGTAATCAGCTCTTCCATTGTGGTCTGTGCAGGTGAAACCCGCATGCGATTCTATGAGCTGCTCGTTAATGGTCTTTACACTCCTCAGACCCTTCCTGTAGGCGCTGAACAGGATGTATCACCAACTGTGAATGAAACTCTCCAGGTATGTTTGCTTGGCTTTTTTTGAAGAATAACTTTCTAGAAAATTCCAAACGAATGCGTCATTAACAGTAGTGTTTTAACACTTTTAATTTAGCTTCTTTTTTTTTGTCTTGCCATGTTTCAGTGGATGTTACTAATTCACATTTAAATATAACTTGCTCATAATTGCCGTAGCAAATGTAACTCTCTGTGAATGCAGTGCATGCGGCTGATCTGTATGCTGGTGTCTGCGTGGCTTGGTAAGTGGTTTTTGTCTTTTGGAATGAAAAATACCTACAGAACCGACAGTATGTGCCCTATTAACATTAGAAATTCCTGCAGTTAAGAGGACTGGATCAGATCTGTCCCTGAGATGAGATTATTCCCTTGAAGTCAGGGGGAATGATTTACAACGGTACATTTGGCCTAGCGTCTGCAGTATGTAATCCTTAGCGTGTTCGTTCTTCAGCCTTGCTTAAAGGCTAAAAGATGGAAGGTGTCTGATCTTGAATAGTGGCATCAGTTTTCCAGAATCTTAATTAGTTGCTGGAATCAGTTGTTAATAAAAGCAGTGGACAGAATTCCTGAGGGCTTCCAGAGGTCCCTCAGTATTTAAGGTACGATTATCTAAATGGTTTTGTGCAGTTGTCTGCTTCCCTGTGATCCCCCTTGGGATGGGAGGACGAGGGGGAAGTGAAGCCTGTTTGTGTGAAGTCGGCAGCCCCCTTGACTTGTCTAAATGTACTGTGGCACCTGATTGTGGCTTAGGAACCCACTTTAAGGCATCAAATTTGAAAGAGATTTGGCAGAGATTTTTTTTTTTTTTTCCTTTTCTCTACTTCTCTGCACTGTTACAACTTTTTAAAATGCCATCATTTCATTAGTTCTGTGATCAGATGTTTTCAGGACAGGTAAGAGCTGTACATTGAACGTGAAAATCCCATTGATCTGAAAAAAATGAAATTCTCTTCTCTCACCAACCACCCCAACAGCAACAAGGCAAAACCCCATTATCCTTTAACAAAATCATAAAGAGGCTGATTCTTCCTTATCTCCCAGCAAGGTGTTTTTAAAGGCAGGAGGGAGGCAAGTAATGATTTTGCTGGGAGCCCCGCTATGAACAGGGCCTGGCTTTTCATTTCTGCTGGTTACATATCTCAAATAAAAATGGACCAATTTTTTCTTACCTCTTTTTCAGGATTAGCAGGAAAACACTTAATTGATGGCATCCCCCAAAGTAGTCCCTGCTGTAATTATCTTTAAGATTGTTTCTCTAGATATTGTGTTCCTGTATTATATTATTATCCTGAATTGATTTTTTTTCCCAGTTACCACCAAAATTACTGCTTTGTGGGTAACTTTTAACTGTTTACATCATGTTGTTGTCGCTAGAATCTGCCAACAAACTTGTTTGCTGTTGTAGTTTAGTAAAATACTCCTGACATTTGCTTTCCCTCTCACGCAGAGCAGCAAAGACCTGACAGTTCTGTGAGCCACAATCCCTGCCTCCAGGCCATATCCAAACCCGACTGAAAAACAATCCACATCACATCTACACGAAAGGTGCAGGGATGTGGATTTTAGCGGGAAGCACGTGGCTGGTTCCTGACCTTTTCTGTGGGTTTTAGAACAGTTGAGGAAGAAACTTTCCCGATGTCCATGTGGTCATGATCTCTAGGGTGTCACACCAAGAGCAAGTCTGCACTATTGAGGGGGTGAGATGTGTGTGAGCGTAGCAGACAGGTGAGAGCTCAGCTTGAGTTTGATGGTGCTGGCATGTTACAAGCAGGTCATTTTAAGTGTGTCTCTACTTACCTGTGCTTGGGAGAGGAGCACCCAGCCTGTAGTCTCACCAGTTCGCTATCCTGGTGTGCTTTTGGGGAGTTGGAGCTCAGTCCTTCCTCTCTTGCTACCAGAAGGATTCTCACTGAACTCTTGCTTTGCATTATGGAAAATTGATCCTGGTGGTGATGATTAGCATGGCACTGCTATGACTCAGCAGAGTCTGAGTTGGAACAGGGCTGCTCCTAGAAACCCCCCGGAACGTGCCTGCAAAGTGAGTTGCAGAGCAATTACTTGACTACCCTGTAGGCTTGTAGGGTTTCAGTTTCAAATGCTGTAATCAGTAGTGTTCTACCTGAGCATTTGTCTTTGGGAAGGGGTTTAAAAAGGTGTTTCTGGCAGTTGAGGATGTTTCATGCCTTTTATACCTGTAGCCTTCTCCCTTGTTGTTACAGATGAGCATTTGGTAGAGAGGTTGGTGGGTCAGCTCCCTCAGCCGGACCAACACAAAGCCCTGCTGCATAGGTTTGGTTGCAGGCTGCCAGTTTGCTGTTTTCTGTGTTTGGATTTGTTCACAAAAAAAGATAAATTGATAATTTCATACCTCAGACTTTTCTTAATTATCTTTCCTATTTGCCATTTAGACAAGCCTTACACAGTTGATAGAAATTGAAACTGTTTTAGCTAAAAGTATTGTGCAAGTCTCTTGTTCACCTGATACTCTTGGGTACAGCTTATAAGGAATACTGTTGTATCTGCTTTCTTCTTCTTTCTCTTATAGACAAGTTCCTCTTTGCTTGCCTTTTTCTTTTAAATCAAAGGGATCTGTTAATAATGGATAATGGTTTGTGTTTTCAGGGATGCTGTAACCTATTTTTTTTTTTTTTTCCCATGGAAATATCTGCAAACTCCTGGGTACTCAGCTCCTCTGAAAACCAAACAGATTAGACAAATATCTTTTAAAAAGTGTGTGTTTAGGTGCTGTTCTCTCTTCTGTTTTCATAGTTGACGGATTCCCTGAAGCGCCTGAAAGACAGTAACCTTTCTTCTGCGGGATCATCTGTTACCCCCAACAGCAGCACGCCGTTTTCCCATGACACAGCCTATTCCAGCTGTCGGCAAGACACCCCAAACTCGTACAGCCAATTTACCCCACAGTCCCAAGGAACACCTCACACCCCACGGTTAGGGACACCGTTTTCCCAGGATTCCACCTATTCTAGTCGTCAGACAACGCCCGTGTACCATTTTGGGCAGGACAGTGGGTACAAACCCAGGAGGCACGAAACAAAATTTACAGATGCCTACAACCGTCGACCGGGACATCACTATGTTCATAACGCGGCAGGTGTTTACCGAGGGACGGAGCATCAGTTTAGTACGTACAAATCCCATCAGCAGGAGCCAGTTCAGTTCTCTCACACTCCTCCCCTGAGCCACTCTAGTTCTTCGAGCTACAAATCTGCCTTCTCTCCCTACCAAGCACCAGCTGTATTTCCCCAATCTGACGAGCAGCAGTTTCCCCAAACTTCCAGGGAAACGGAGTACCGAAGACCTGCGCCGCCTCCCACCGAGATGGTGGTGGAGAGCAGCACTGCCACGAACATCGATTTTGTCCCAGTGAAGGAGAAACAGGAGGAGCCTCCGCCCTTGCCCGACTCAAACTCTGTTCCTGAACCGAGCACAGCGTCCTTCTCTCAGACTCCAGAGAGAAGCGAGACCCCTGGCACCCCCACCATGGAGTCAGAAATGCAGCATAACAGTTTAGACTCAAGGATTGAGATGCTCTTAAAAGAGCAGAGAACAAAGTTACCCTTTCTTAACGAGCATGACTCAGATAACGAGATCCGAATGGAAGGTAGCCCTATTTCCTCCTCTTCTTCCCAGCTCTCTCCCATCCCAATGTACGGTTCAAACTCTCAGCCCAGTTACAGAGGTCAGACACCTTCCTCACGCCCTTCCAGCACAGGCTTGGAGGACATTAGCCCCACGCCATTACCTGACTCTGACGATGACGAGCCCATCCCTGGGACGGCTTCTCTGAGTCAGAATTCCCGGGGGACATCAGAGGCCAGCATGACTCCCATCGATCAGCTGAGCAGGACCTCCAAAATTGAGACTTCAGAGGCTAAAGAAATGGTGCCTGGTGACCAGACTCCAACATCAGAAAAAATGGATGAGGTAAGTGAGCTAGAACTGAGTTATGAAGCTCCATGTGTATGCCCAGAGCTGGACAGGGCAGGGAGTCGCTCTTTTAGAGTGTTGCTGGTGTGTAGGATTTCTTGTGGCTTTTTCTTTTACTCAAGGCAGCTGGAAATGAGTTAGACGTGACACAAAGCGATGGTCTTAATCAACTTGCCAGTCTCCAGCTTTCCTTGTTTATAATAGCAGCCTGCTGCAATTTATAGCTTCAGGAGAGCTCAAGGACTGCACAAGCCGTGGAAGTTTGGCCAGTGCTCATGCTGTGCGAATGTCCTGGGTGTCGACGGACACTTAAGCCACTAGAGGAGTTAATCGAGCACTTTCTGCCGTTGCGTCCCTGAGCGTGGGTGTGTATGTGTGCACACACTTGCTTAACGGGGCTTTCATGTTATGCCGAAGTATTGAATGTATACTTTGTTTGATAGCTCTCCAGCTATTTATGCCATCTGGTTTGAATGGGAGACAGTTGCTGGGTTTTAATACTCACTTTGCTCAGTTGAAAGGGGGAGGTAGTTGGCTTGTGGGGGATGTGCTTCACGGAGTCTTCCAATAATAGAGTGGGGCTTGCTGCCTCTGCTGGGGCATTTGTGGCTGAAGGGACAGCGAGAGCTTAACAGTGTGGAAAGGTGCCAGCAGACAGAGAAATTACGTTGCATGGCACGTCTGTTTGGGAGATCTCTTGCAACAAATGTGAGTATCACTGCAGTGGATGTGTTGGTCCTATTCTGCTGTGTCAAGGAACGGTCAGAATACAGATCTTTGCAAATGCCAGACCCTTTCTCCTTAGTGTGTATAATAGTCATGCAAGCAAATGAAAGTGCTGTCCCTGGTGTGCAAGATCTGGTCTGCAGTAAGGGGACCTCAACCATCCTAGAGGGCTGATCTTGTGTAAATGTCCCCGGTGTGGTAGATCAATTTAATTTGCTCATGAAAGTTTGCTGGAGTTAAGCTGGCAGGATAGATTTCCCTCCAGTGGTCTGCAGTTTTGAGATTTTCACCCGAGAAGCAGCTGCATTTCAGGAGAGGAGGAGCTTCTATAGCTATAGGCTTTGCAGAGTGCTTAACTGGAGGAAAAGTGCTGCAGCAATAACATAGTGCAGGTCTCGGTGCTAAATAGAAAAAAATTGTAACTGAATATTTTATTTTTTCTACATGCCTTTCCAAACCTGCTTGTCCTTGCAGTTGCCAGTTTAGGCTTTGAAACAATTCAGCCGCTTGAGGTCTCATTCATCATTTAGGCCGGCCTAGGCTCCCCTCTTGGGAGGCAAATCTCTGGCTGGTGGGACCTGATGATGTATTAATTAGCAATGGAGTTTTGATTCCTTGAGCTCAGTCTGGCAGGCTTGAGAGAGGATACTCTTAGTTTGTCTGAAAAAATTGAGGAAGACATCCCTCATCTCCTTGCCATTCTGGGCTTGTATCTGCTGTCCTTACTCTTGTGCAAGAGGGTTGCAGCCAATTCTGAGCATATTTAGGAAGATAGATGAATGCCAGCATGGTATGTGGGGTCAGGCACTTTCTGTAGCTGAGATCAGCGTTGGGGGACTGGCTGGGATGTTATATTTGTGCGTTTTGATATGGGGCAGCATCGTGCTGACGTTGAAGCCCGTGTTAAGGCTTTGTCTCCTGTTAATGAGATGCTGGTGTCAGAAGTTCATGTCGATGGTTCTGTGATACAAAATGATGTAAATGCCTTGATCCTCTGCAGGAGTCAGAAAGGTGGTAGCAGTGGCTTCATGCAGGTCATTGCTGCCTTAATTGGCGCGCCC